ATTATTATTGTTCTATATTACATGTAATATTATATATCAAATATTTGTACCATATATATTATTATTGTACTATATTATATATGATATTATATATACAATATTTATAACATGTATAATATTATTCTACTATATTATATGTAATATTATATATATAATATTTGTACCATATGTATTATTATTGTACTATATTGTATGTAATATATATATAATATGTACTATAGACATTATTGTTATACTATATTATATGTAATATTATATATTTAATGCTTACACCATATATATTATTATTGTACTATATTATATGTGATATTATATATACAATGTGTATCATGTATATTATTATACTATATTATGTGTAATATTATATAAAATATATGTACTATATATATTATTATTGTCCTATATTATATGTAATATTAAATATCTAATATTTGTACAATATGTATTATTATTGTCCTATATTATATGTAATATATATCTAATATTTGTACCATATATATTATTGTAGTATATTATATGCAATATTATATATCTAATTTTTGTACCATATATATATTATTGTCCCATATTATATGTAATATTATATATATAATATTTATACCATATATATTATTATTGTACTATATTCTATGTAATGTTATATATACAATATTTGTACCATCTATATTATTGTCCTATATTATATGTAATTATATATATATATAATATTTGTACCATACATATTATTATTGTCCTATATTATATGTAATATTATATATCTAATATTTGTACCATATATATTATTGCTGTACTATATAATACGTAATATATTATCTATATTATATAAATATATGTTTATATATATATACACACATAGTACATACATTCTATATTTTCTTTATATATTATAATATATTTATATACTTATATTTATAATATATTTATATAGTTACTATATAATATGTTACATACATACATATATACATATACATACACACACACACACACATATATATATATACATATATAAAATGTAATGTTCATTTGTGGAATTAACATAACTCAAAAACCACTGGATGAATAGGCACCAAATTTGAACACAACACGCCTGTCAGGCCATCACTCAAAAAACATTGTCATTTGGGAGTTGTAGTTGCTGGGATTTATAGTTCACCTACAATCAAAGAGCATTCTGAACGCCACCAATGATGAAATTGAGCCAAACGTGGCACACAGAACTCCCATGACCAACAGAAAACACTAGAAGGATTTGGGAATTGTAGTTCATCTTGAGTTTGGAAATTGTAGTTCACTTACATCCTGAGAGAGAGCTCTGTGGACTCAATGAAGGATCTGGACCAAACTTGGCACGGATATTCCACATGCCCAAATATGAACACAGATGGAATTTGGGGGAAATAGAGCTTGCAATTTGGGAGTTGTAGTTGATGGGATTTATAGTTCACCTACGACCAAATAGCATTCTGAACCCCACCAACAATAGAATTGGGCCACACTTCCCACACAGAACCCCCATGACTAAAAGACAATACTGTGTTTTCTGATAGTCTTTGGCGACCCCTCTGACACCCCCTGGCGACCCCCTCCAATGGTCTCATATTTTCACAAACCCCGATGACATCTAGACATTTGATGATCCAACAATGTGGCAGTGAGTCAAATGCTTTATTATTATTGTTGTTTATTTATACCCCACTTTTCAAGGATACTCAAAGCAGTTCATAGATCGACTCAAAGACAGATCGATATTATTGTTGTTATTTGCAGTTCGATTGCTGCTGTTTGCCGTTCACCACTGGGACCCCCTTGACTGTGCCAGAGTCTTTGCAGTTCGATCTTTAAATCCTCGTATTTGGTCAGCTTTTCCAGTTGTTTCTTTTTATGGCAAGGTCTGCCCAGAAGTGGCTTCCCCTGAAGCTGAGAGAGTGTCATTCCCTTCCAAGTCACCCAGTCTTCTGTGTGCCCAGGAGGGAGTCTCTCATTTGGTATCAGCCATTGACTGAGGTTCTGGGTTTGGGCCTGCCACTTTTGGACTCTCGCTTGCTGAGGTGTTCCAGCGAGTGTCTCTGTAGATCTAAGAAAACTATGTCTTGATTTAAGTCGTTGACGTGCTGGCTGATACCCAAACAGGGGATGAGCTGGAGATGTCTCCGCCTTGGTCCTTTCACTCTTGGCTGCTAATTCCCGGCGGATGTCAGGTGGTACAATACCGGCTAAGCAGTGTAATTTCTCCCGTGGTGTAGGGCGCAGACACCCTGTGATAATGCGGCATGTCTCATTAAGAGCCACATCCACTGTTTTAGCGTGGTGAGATGTGTTCCACATCGAGCATGCGTACTCAGCAGCAGAGTAGCATAGCGCAAGGGCAGATGTCTGTCAGGATTATTGAAAGTATGCATGTATGTTTTTTCAATGTGTTTCAATATGATTAACAATGGTGTTCATATGTATTCAAGATGGATTCAGTTATGTTCAATTGTATGCTGGAATTGTTACAAGAGACAGAGAGGTAGAGAGAGAAGAGACCTTGGCAGAAGTAAGATAACAAGTTCTCTCTGTCTGGGAAGAATTAGGGAGTAGCCGGCTTACAGCCAGAGAAACTGATAAGCAGATGTTCTGTAACCATACTATAGTTGTGCTTTGTAGTTCCTGTTGTAGTTCCTGATTAAGCTCGTTTGGAAGTAGACATGTATTAAGATGTGCTAAGTAAACTTTGTTATTTTCTGAAACTGGAAGACTGCAGTGTCCTGTTTTGTGTCTGTGTGATCTAGTAACCTCATCTCCGCTGCGCATAGACCCCAGGGTCTCACTCTGATAATGTCTTCACTGTGTCTAGTTGTGATCCCCAGGCTGTGCCAATCAGCTTTCGTATGATATTGTTTCTAGCAGCCACTTTTTGCTTGATGTTCCGGCAGTGCTTCTTATAGGTCAGAGCACGGTCCAGAGTGACTCCCAGGTATTTGGGTGTGCTGCAATGCTGCAGTGGGATTCCTTCCCAGGTAATCCTCAGAGCTTGGGATGCTTGTCTGTTCTTAAGGTGAAAGGCACATGTCTGTGTTTTAGATGGATTAGGGATCAGTTTTCCCTGTAATAGGCAGCAAGGGCACCTAGAGCTTCAGAGAGCTTCTGTTCCACCATCTCAAAGCCCCCTGCTTGAGCAGTGATGGCATGATCATCAGCATAGATGAAGCTCTCTGTCCCTTCTGGCAGTGGCTGGTCAGTTGTGTCGATGTTGAACATGGATGGAGCAAGCACGCTCCCCTGAGGCAGGCCGTTCTTCTGTTTCCGCCATCTGCTTCTCTGGCCCTGGAACGCAACAAAAAAGCTCCTGTTTTGTAGCAGCTCTGCTTGAGCAGTGATGGCACGGTCATCAGCATAGATGAAGCTCTCTGTCCCTTCTGGCAGTGGCTGGTCATTTGTGTAGATGTTGAACATGGATGGAGCAAGCACGCTCCCCTGAGGCAGGCCGTTCTTCTGTTTCCGCCATCCGCTTCTCTGGCCCTGGAACTCAACAAAAAAGCTCCTGTTCGGTAGCTGATTTCCTTGAGTGGTGATGGCACGATCATCAGCATAGATGAAACTCTCTGTCCCTTCTGGCAGTGGCTGGTCATTTGTGTAGATGTTGAACATGGATGGAGCAAGCACGCTCCCCTGAGGCAGGCCGTTCTTCTGTTTCCGCCATCTGCTTCAACAAAAAAGCTCCTGTTCGGTAGCTGATTTCCTTGAGTGGTGATGGCACAATCGTCAGCATAGATGAAGCTCTCTGTCCCTTCTGGCAGTGGCTGGTCAGTTGTGTAGATGTTGAACATGGATGGAGCAAGCACGCTCCCCTGAGGCAGGCCGTTCTTCTGTTTCCGCCATCTGCTTCTCTGGCCCTGGAACTCAACAAAAAGGCTCCTGTTTTGTAGCAGGTTTCCTATGAGGCGGATGAGACGGTCGTCCTTTGTGATATTCTAACTCCGGACAGAAGTCTGCTTAGCAACCACAGACGTCATTGCATCATGTTTCCCTTATTGGCTGAACAGTATATCTCTCCTCCAATCCGGGCTTTGGCTTTGGTTTCTATTTGATAGAGAAACCAAGTGGGGGTCCTGCTCCTGGATGAGGCTGTTTTGGGGTTCCTTCCTGGCTTTGGCAACGTTTGCCCCTTTGTTGGGGGGCTTTTCTGGTGAGTTCTCCCAAAGCTCAACACTAGGAGAGGAAAAAAGAGCAGGATTTGCACCCAGAACCCTGCAGAATGGCATTTTTGCATTTTGCATTTCCTCCCAACAAGGAAGTCTGCCCTGGCTTTACAAGATCAGCATGGAGGAAAGAGTATGGGAGGACATTAATGCAGTGCTGTGGGATCCTGGGAGTTCTAGTTTTGTCAGGTGGCTTAATAATAATAATAATAATAATAATAATAATAATAATAATAATAATAATATAATGATCATGAGAAACTACAACTCCCAGGATCCCATAGCCTTAAGCAGTTAAAAGTGGGATCAAACTGCATTTGTTCTAGATGCTGCCAATGCTGTGGGATCCTGGGAGTTCTAGTTTTGTCAGGTGGCGTAATAATAATAATAATAATAATAATATAATGATCATGAGAAACTACAACTCCCAGGATCCCATAGCCTTAAGCAGTTAAAAGTGGGATCAAACTGCATTTGTTCTAGATGCTGCCAATGCTGTGGGATCCTGGGAGTTCTAGTTTTGTCAGGTGGCGTAATAATAATAATAATAATATAATGATCATGAGAAACTACAACTCCCAGGCTCCCATAGCCTTGAGCAGTTAA